GACTTCGAGCTCGAATCGCAAGAACAGAGCCATGTCCATGAGGAGTCTGCACCGGCGCGTCTCTCACCCGTAAGTCGTTAATTCTATTGTATACTTTAGCCTTGTTGATTATACCGTTGGATTACACGTGACTGGCACGCGGATGGGATCGAGATTGGCACGGGTTGATGGTCAGAAAGTTTGAAATCACTTTCAGTTGAATTAAATTTTCTATGTTAATTTTAAGTTGATCGTGCCAATGTTGATTTAGTAATTTTGTTTACTTTAATTAATAGGTTTTCACGTAGAGAGAATTTTCTGCATTAATAATGTATGTGTTAATTTGGATCTCTTTGAATACTTGGATGGAATGCATTAGTGATTTCAAATTTTTGGTTGATAGTATATATGGTGTATGAATCATTGGACACTTCATTGGATTTTAATATGCACTTGTATGTTTAAAATTAATCAGTGTCCTAACTTATGTAGTATAGGAATTGCAAATTAGAATGGAAAAGTTTAGTGAAGCTTCAAGATAGATAATAGAAACAAAAAGATTTTGTGGTTTGTTTGCTAGGGTAATAAGAACTTAGAGAAAAAGAGCTTAGAGATTGTATGAAATTATATATTTGATATTATAACAATGATTATTTAATTCGCAAATTTTTTAAGTTTAAATAATTTATGAGAAAATATTATTCAGATATATTCGACATTTACATATTAATAAATAATCTTATATTTTTTGATTGAAAAGTAATAAGAATAATTTTAATTCAAAGATATTTTAAATATTAATAAATTATAAAATACGGACATATATTTTACAAGTTTTTTTATGTAATTTTTAAATTTATTTTTTGAAATTTTATAAAAATTTTTAGGAAACAGACAATTTAATCTTTTTCAAAATAAATCTATAAAATATATCTCGATCCCATCAACCAGATTCTTGTTTGATATAGAAATAGTTATAGAATTTAGCGTTTAAATTTGAGAACAGAAATCTGTTGACGCTTGGATTGATCGATTCGGTAAAGCAATTGTCTGGTAAAGATCCGGATTCGAGTAATAGTCCAATAATCCGATTGGACAATGTTTTTTTCTTTATGAATTGAAGATAGGGAAAATGATAAAGTAAGAGAGATTTGAATGGTTTAATGTCATCTAATTTCCTGTATCCGAACTTTCTTGTAACTGAGATCTCGTAGGCTTTTACAGTCAGAAAGTTTTATATGTAAGAGGTTAAAAATTCCCTGTTATAAATTGTTTCCTCTCAAGAAAAACTTGACCAAAGTTAAAATATATTTTTTATATAATTATTTTTGTTATTTTAATTAAAATTTTTTTAAAATAAAATTATAGATTCATTATAGTCAATAATATTACAATAATTTATTCAAATATTATTATAAAATAATTTTCAAGAAAAAATTTCTTTTAATTTCCATGTAAACTATTGGTCAATATAATTCATCATATTTTTGATTATTTTATTTTTATAGTTAAAATTATTATTTTATTTTTTTATAGAATTATATATGTGAAAGATAATCTATAAAAAATGCAGTATTTATATAAATAATAAATTTTTATTTTTTATCGCTAATACTATTTATTTAATAAATAAAATATCATTTACTTTATAAATGACAAGTAACAATAGATGGGACAAGAAGACTAACTATAATATTAATCAGCAGTATATTCATCTTAAATATGTCTGACCATATTTCATATATTTTCCTTTATTCAGTAGTGTAGGTCAATCATATCTTCTTACGTACACTCTTTTTCACTCGAACATAATTATCAAAGTATTTTCGTTCAAATTTCAAATTAAATCTATAGAAATAAATAAATTGATCAATAATTCTATATGAAATTTTAAAAATTATTTTACTATTTGTTCTATTTAAGATACTTTAAAATTGGGATTACATTCAACCAAAGATAAAAAGCAAACACATCGCGAAACTAAAAATTATCCAAGTAGAACTAAAAAGATCTCTTTTCAAGTGTTCCAAGCTTAACGAATATCAAACATTGTAGAACCAACATTCTTAACACCTCGTATTCATGTCTCATTGTACCAAGAATAACTAGAAAATGAAATCTACTTCTCCATTCACATAAATTTCATTTTTTCCAAGTATCGTCATCATTACACGTTTTAAGCATTCATTACATGTTTTAAGCATTCATAAAATATATTCTCGATCTTTCACGTAAAATATCATAATGTGTAAATTCGATGCTCGAACTCAATGCTGTTTCTTCAATCATTATTCATAGTCAACAAATAACGCGATAAGTTCAATAAGGCCTAAAATCTTTGCTTGTTTCTCTATTTCTAGTTTTATTTATTATCTATACTATAATAGGCATTTATAGTATTCCAAAATGGCAGGTTAAATCATGCTCTAAAATTAATCAATCTTTTAAAGTTCACATGCGATCTAAGTGCAAGACAATTACTCGAAACGAGAATCGATCACTGGAAGACGTGACTTATATTCGTTTAATTTTGGCCATAAATCATTCTTTTCTCGAGTTTGTTTCCTTTGCTTTACAGCAATTAGTTCCAGAAGGATGCGTTTATAAATATAACGATCGATCCGCGCTTTTTCTAATCGCTGGGTTAAAAATATTGTTCCTGAAGAGGGCGGATTCTCCAAAATGGTCGAAATCGAAGAATTGGAACAGCATTTCTTCAGCTTTAGAAAAAAGAAAGGAAAAAAAAAAAAAACAAGTTTCTCGTTTAAATGGGGAACAATCGATTGGAGGGCGCACGATTCCCGAGGATCGTTCTTCCCGCAGATTTTCGCATGAATGAGATTCGCTTGGAAACGATCGACTACGCGGACCTTAATAATCGCCTCTCGCATGTCTGTCGACGAGATTTTTATTTCCTTTGTCGCGAATCTTCGAGTCGAGAAATTTCTTCCTTCTTACCTCTTCCTTTTTTCCTTTTATGATTTATGCAAACGTCGGCGAAGTTTTTAGATTCCTTTTTCTCGTGCAATTTTTGCTCGCAAGTTAATATTGAATTATATATAACGAGGATGGAATTATGGTACGGTTGGATAGTGTTTATTTCTCGTGTAAAAATAGAGATATTGGATACAGTTTTTTTTTTATTGAGAAAATTTGTTGTTGCTTTAAGAGTGTTTATAGAGTAGTTTATCAGGGTGGGAATTATTTATTGTCGGTTTTAAGTAGCGCGAGAAAGAAATTATTGTTGTCTGTGCAGGCACAGTCTTACTCCCCTTCGACGACTCTATCTCTGTCTTGCTTCGTCTAGTGTAAAATTAAATTGCTTGTAACTTGCAAAATAAGCTTCAATGAAACAATATTTTTATGCAACATCAATTTTTGTATTTTTGTTCAATCTTTCGAATAATCTTTTAAATTTTTCTCTATCTTGTTTAAATATGTATAAATTAATTCCTTCGTTGCAAATTTATGCAAAGATGAAGAATATTCTGCAGAAGAAACGATGCACAGATTTCAGAAGTTTCATTGAGTTTGTAAATCCGAATCTTCCTTCGTGATATACAAGAATAATAGTAGTAGTTGAAATGTGTATATTGACTAGATATTTGTTGAATAGTTAGATCTTTGATGAACTTCGGCGATGGAGTAACGTTCCATCCATGAACTGACAGAATTTTCGAAATTGAGTCCAGTCAATGCAATGTTAGTCCAGTATTTGGTAATGCGATATCGGTTTTATCTTAAAGATTGTAATATGGAACCAAATGGTTTTCCTAGAAGGCAAACTATCTCTCACAAATTAAACTTGTATATCTTCAGTCACGTGTATTGTTATTATTGGTTAATTTAATCAATTTCAAGTTTGATACATGATAAAGAATGCAAATCTATTAAAAAATATTGGAATATGACGAACATTAAAATTTGAAATGTGAAGATATAGATAAAAATGTTTTTCGTGACATATTCGCATATGCAATGATCTTACTACTGTATAATTTTTAAAAGTCAAAAAGTGGAACAAAATTCACCACTTACCGTGCTACTTATTTTGAAGATACTTAGCAATTTATGATCTCTATCCAATGTTTAAATTCCTTATCAATAAAAAAATATCCTTTTTATCTATTCATATATTCCTTTAAAAAGAGGATAAATTTTTAGAATAATTTGACTCGTGTCGGATCAAATCAGAGAGATTTCCTATTTTTTGATGCGTACTTTTTACAATCATATCATGAACTTTTCCACAAAATTTCACCTATCTCGCTTTCCTTTCGTTTTCCATCAGTACTATTGTCATCAGTATGCATAGATAATTTGCATTTCGTTGCATTTCACAAATGTTTTTTCAACTTGTCAATATCCAACCCTTTCGATTTTTGGTGTCACATTAAATGCGTTAAAGGAAGGAT